TATGTAACGAAGTGATATTTGATTCACCGTAATTAATGTTGTTGAAGTTAGTCATGTCATATACAGAGTTCCTATATGATTGACTTGCAGGGTGTAGTATATTCCAGTGGTCATCTCCATTTTAACGACTGATTTCTTGCAAGAATTCTTGTGGGATTTTTTTTAGGATCACAGGTACCCTGTAATGATGAATATTTGTCTGAGTATGAACCAAGCGACTCCAGACTGCTTCTTTACGTCTCAATTCTGTTATCTATACTCTCACATTCGGGATATTACTTGGAGCTGGAAGATCCATCAACTTCTGCATAAGTGAATTTGTTACTTTTTTGTGGGTTCGTATCCCTCCGATAAAACGCGTGCGGCATGTCTTATTCGGTATTTGTTAAAGTAAATTCTGAAACAATTTAGTTGGCCTCCCCACAAAGCAATGTTCTACGGTAGCTGAATTTCTCTTCATTAGAAATAGAAAGGCTATTGTTGCTATGGATACTTGTTTCAAAACAGTCCCAGAAAGTTTGCCATTCAAGTGAATTTGGAGAGAATAAAGGCGAGTTTTATTTTGGAAGTTTATGATTTTCAATCTTTTTGCTTCCTAAACTAAGCTGGGAAGAGTCATTACTAGGAATGACCTGAGGTGTGTTTATGTTTAAATTGACAGGAGAAGAAGAATGAACGTTCTCGTACACGTGAGTAGGGACAAACTGTGTCTTGTTAGACAATGCATGCTTCATAAATTGTCGTAACCCGAGCCTTAAATCTAACAAATACCTATCTGATTCCTTAATTTCACTTTGTATCTCTTATCTTTTGCATAATAATGGACGAATGTCAGTGTTTTTCTTCTCCAGTGGATCCTCTTTCTCTTGCAGTATTTTCACCATTTCGTTCTCTGAAATTTCATCTTCTGATTCAGGAATTTTTTTAAGAATTCTTTTAATAGCACTACCCTGACTGGGACGTATTGCCTTCAATTTTAACACAATCATCCATTTCCAGTCTGTTTATACTATACCAATGGACAAGGCACCAATGTCGAGAATGTTTTGGGTTGGTAGCCTGAAGTTAGGAAAACACATCTGTTCTGTACTTTGTTTACTTGGAAAAAACACTTCTGCTCTGTATAATGTTTAATTGAATTCTGATCTAAACTGTGGTAATGTATATAATTTAACACTATCATAGTATAACAAATAAAACAATATAAGTGTACATGTGTTTATTACACCCGGTACTTCTGTTAAAATGTTTCATATGTAAAGTTAAGAAGGTAAAGTAGCTATATTACGTAGCCCTGAAAATATTACCGTTTCGCAAAGCTATATCCCGGGGATAGTTTGTGTTATCCACCCCTCGGAAAATTTTCATTCATCTTTTGACGCCAATTTTGATTTTCTGCAATATGATTGGTTGGCGACTTCTCCAACACTGAAGAGTTAGCAAAGCTATACCGTCGGATATAAAATGTGCTCTCCAACCCTCAGAAATTATAATATAGCAAGTGTAAAAAACGCTTATTCACTGGCTGTTAGTGGGGATATCTCTCTCATTAAACCCTTGCTAGAAACTATTCCCCGAAGCCAAACATTCGAAGAATAGTTCCTATCGCGTGTTCGATAAAAAAGATATTCCATTCGCAGCCTGTGGATAAGTGTATGATAGATGTATAATAGATTTACATGATTTCAAAGAGGAATAATTAAACTGTCGGAGTTCCACGACATACCAGATGCGAGTTCTGAGGTCAAAGACATACAATAAATGGGAGTATGTGTAGCAACACGGAATTGAAAGTGTATCGGATTGTTTAATGGTTATATCTGATATCATCTGTTGATTACATTCAATAGGCATTGCAAATGGGCGAAAAGAATATTATTTTTTATGCAAAGTTTGATAAATTTAGGTAGAATCCCAAATTTTGACTGTCATTAAGACCCGGCCAACATAGGACAACGTTGAAAGAAATGGTGCAGAGCGTTTGAATTTTCAATTCGGGAAAAGAGTTAAGAATACCCCACAGAAATCTTTACTCTTACATTGCGATGGAACTCAAGCAGGACAATTTTTGTACCTTGACCGTACCGGAGTTAAATACGGAAATTGGATACGATGTGTATTCAGTATCTATGAAAACGCTCGATCAATATTTCAGCCTAAAGGACAATGTTTCGTACGAATGGCATGCATCAAGAGGAATTAGCCACTTATCAATGGAAACTATGAAACAATAGATCAATTTGATACGCGACAACGTGAAATATCTTAGTTTTGTGATTTCCCCAACAACGAGGAGAGTATTAGCGACTAAGTCGTTGAATAAATGTGTTTCAAATCAGTTGTGGAGGAAATTACTAGAAAAGGTAAAGACTTGACATTAAATAAATTACAAGAGATTGCAAAAACATTTAAATCTAGTTAAATTCAGGCGAGCAGAATGGAAGGAGGGAACGAGGTAAACCATGTTTGTTTGTATGTTGTATAACGTCCCATTCGAGAATTTTTCACTCATATAGAGACGTCACTGTATGCCGGTGAAGGGTTTCAAATTTAAACCTTTACTCGGCACTCAGGGCCATTGAGCAGTGAGGGTTCTTTATTGTGCCAACGCCTACCGTACACGGGACCTCGGTTTTTTAAGATCTCATCCAAAAGACCCGTGTATTTCCCTTCTAGTGCTGGGCGCTTGGCGAAGGAACACCTACTACCTATGTTTGCATCTAAGGTTTGACGCGGCGCGGCGAACGAGATTCGAACCTGGGCCTCCTGATCTCGAAGCGACCGCTCTACCACTAGGCTACCGTGACCGGTAGGTCAACCACGTGAAAATGATTGATTGAATGTTATTTTACGTCCCGTTCGAGAATTTTTTGCTCAAATAGAGACGTCACCGTATACCGGTGAAGGGCTTCAAATTTAGACCTTTATTCGGCACTCAGGGCCATTGAGCAGTGATGGTTCTTTATCGTGACACGGGGCCTCGGTTTTTAAGGTCTCATCCGAAAGATCCGTAACTTTCACTTCAAAGTTCCAAGCGCTTGGCAAAGGAACAGTTGCTACCTATTTTTATCGAATTAGGTCAGTCGCGGCCGTGATTCGAACATACGACCTTCCGATCACGAAGCGAGCGCTCTACAGACTGAGCTACCGTAACGGTCACGTGAAAATGAAAAAGGGAAGCGGCAATTTATGATTGTTGATTCCGGTTCAAGTTGCAATGTAATAGACAAAGACTTGTGGGAGAAATAGAATAAAAAAAGCATTGTTTGTCAATCAACTAAAATGGAAAGCAAACGGTATCCCAATGAAAACGTTGAACCAAATGAAGTGACTTGGAAGTTTAATGTTGTGTTTAAAGTAAGTGGAATTAAAACAAAGGCAGATGTATTTGTTATTTACGGAGTAGGAAAAGCTCTTCTTCGAAGGAAAACGGCAATGAAACTCGGTGTTCTGAAAATAGACCAAAATGTCAGCGATGTCAGTGCAGTTCAAGAATCAAACCAAGGAGTTCCAGGTCTGGATAGTCAAGTGACCTTTGAGAAGTACAGTTAGTGTTTTCGAGAAAACTATTACTCCAGTAGCTCAAACCCTGAGAAAGCCTTTGGTTTCGCCAGTTGTCGTCGCACCAAAAAGTTGAGGTGACGTAAAATCATGTGCTGATATGCATCATAGTAGAAGCCACAGAATGTGAATGAGGCTAGGATAAGGCTACCTGCAAAATATTTCTGTGCACAATTTGTAGAAACTTCTCTGAACTAATTAAAATGCCATAGTAGCATATGAAGTTACGGCACTACAGACATTACCTGCCATTATATACAGGGAGACAGTTATAAATTATACATTTCTTCCATGTTGGATGTAAAATGTTTCTACCGTGTGTCTTGATACATGTAGGTGTCATTATGTTTAATGTGCTGTTATCGTAATTCCTTTACCTTGTCTGATATGTAGCATATACAAACGAAAACAAAAAGTAGCATGTAAAATGCATGTACCGGTTACACGTTTCAAGAGAACGGAGAAGTAAAGTTAGAATTCATAAATCGTATATGAAATCTACTGGCGCAAGTGATTAATTACGAAAAATTGAAGATATTCTAAAAAGAGGAGTGTGTTCTCTAAATGAATGGAGCTGTGGAATTGTATAAAGCCTGTTTCATATTAATTGGAATGTTGAGTGGAAAAACCCATCTTCTGTGTGTAAAACATGTAAAAGTTAAAGTTCTCCCAAAAATTCACTTTACTAGGAAAATTTAAACTTGTCCCCATCACTTTCCAGCTACAATAGGAACTCAACTCGTAAGTTCTCCAGAGAAAACTGATGAAACCCGACAACTGTTCGACTGAATTAACAAGTTCCGACTTTTGCGATTTCAATATTTAAAGTTGTTCGATTGTGTCTGAACATGCGCAAGGCGGAAAATGAAAATTCAAGGCTATACTCATAACTTAATGCTCATGAGTTGCGAGTCAGGTGGAAGGACCACATGATCAGGAAAATACATTACACTGTGGATTCTCAAGGAGTGTATTAAAAACAAGGTGAATCATCAGTACAATGATGTGCACAAGATGAATATTGAATAAATAAATAAATATACAATGATATATGCAATGATAGCTGATTTTTTTTCAAAACTGAGGGGAGTAAATCTATCTCATGCAATAGGAACTAAGAATTAAAGTACTTGTCAATATCGATAATAGACATAATATGCATTGTGTGAGCGTCTAATACATAAAAGTAATGTCATTTTGTTTATTTGCCTATTACTCAAATATGATAGGTGCATAAATAATCATGGATGCAAAGTTTTTGATTTTATATTTCCTTTGTGGAGGGAGGTGAATTTGCCCGATTGTTAAATATGATGATTTACGAATAACAGTCATTATTCACGATAAGGACTAGGCAGCCATACTAATGAATATAAAGGCAGTGACTCAAATAGAGAAATATTGGAAAACCAGTGTGGTAAATCAGAAAGCAATTAGGTATGAGGCGTTACGATTACATGATGATAGTACTAACGGGTAAGTACATGTATGTATTGTTTTATATATCGTCCATAATTTAAAGAATAAATTTCTACAATGTATAGAAAGAATAAATAAAGAATTACAAGTCACTGTAATGCTTTATGTAGATATAAATAGTCTTTCTCTTTTAGGAATCCATGGCATCCTATGTTTGAAAGAAACAGACCTAAAGCGGAATCTGCTGGCCTCTGGGATGTATGACAGGACAGTTCGACCGCGCCTTAACGCCACCGAAACAGTGCACGTACAGATTGGACTGGTCAACATACATATCATCGGATTAGTGAGTATTGCTCAATTTGCAAAGTGAGTGTATCGATCATACGACAGCTCTTGGCAGGTTTTTGTTGAAAAAGATTTAACTTGACATTTATATACTGTGATGCGTTGTAATTTCTTGGTTTGATTTAAAGTCCTGGGTTTACCTTGCATACCATTTCTACTTCGAATTATTTATGTTTTGACATCTTAACTGTATTCATAACAGAAATACAGGTTGATTAGTAAGCCAAGGCTTGTGAGATTCATATTCCTTATTTTATTTCCTCCAAAATTGAGTACAAATTTCATTTCCTATGTAATTGGTTAAATCCTCTGATTTTAGAGCAGTTCTTTTTATAAGTGTTAGATCGTTCACTATTGATGAGGATTCTTCAGCCTTTGTTAACTCTCTTGACGAGGTTTACGGAGGCGGTGATTTAAAAGAAAGATTTACCACATGTGGTGAATATTTGATCACTACAAAGAAACTGAAAGTAGCATGTCTTCTTTTTCGCAAAGCAAGAATTTCCATTTAAACATTTACAGTGAGCTAGTTGATCAAAACACTTGGTTTGCGAAGATTCGAAAAGAGTAAATCCATGTTTCATTTATATTTTCTAGAATGAAAAAGAAAGTTCCTTCTCTCAAGCAATTACAATGCATGTCGTAAGTGTTTTACATATTTACATGTATATATGCAAATGATATCAAAAGAAGGCTTACGCAAAAGACGAGAATTTCAATCCCAAAATATGTAAGTTACATAGCATTTTGTAATGATAGTAAGAACCAATATCATAAATATAAACAAATAGTGATGAACTTGCAGAGCTGGAAGGATGAGTTTTTGACTTGGAACTCCAGTCCATACGAAGATTTGGAAAGTTTAGTTGTCGACCCGTCCAGTATATGGACCCCGGATATTAACATTTTTGGGAGGTATTCATTTTTCTTGACGAATCTTGAATAGGATGTACTTTTTTTTTTTTTAGATATGCAACATAAAACAGATATGTAGACTGATTTATTTCTTGATTTTAAGGACTGATTTTCTCGTCGGAGTGTGATTAAATTTAATAGTCAGTTTTATATACAAAGACACGAATTCGATTTCTGACCTCTTGCTTGATATAAATTAAGACAATGACATTTATAGTGATCTATTGGTACGTAGCTTGCTGAAGATTCCCATGTCTTCTTCATCTTGAAAAAAGTCAAGTATTTCAGATATGATATTTACATTTTCAAATGGTTTACCATATATAACATTGAGCAACGAATATTTATCACTGTATAGATACAGTTTGTCACATGGCCATACATTCCTTGTAATGTCATAAACGGATGACGTATAGGTGGTCCACGTGCAACTGATACCATTGAGATCTGAAAAATTTAAGCATTTAATTGGTTAACGATTACATGTTTTTTCTGTGCATATTATTTGTTGAAGATAAATGACATATCTAAGGTAAAGAAACAAGTATTGTTAATCTTCTATCGGGATAAAGATACAGATTAGTACTTGATCAAATCTACATATACCATGAAATATATGGAGATAACGAACAGTATTCAAGCTCAAAAGTCCATTTAACAATACAAAATAGGAGCAGAGCAAACACGGACCTCTAAACATCAGAGGTGGGATCAGGTGCCATGGAGGAGTGAGCATCCCCTTTGGACTACATGCAAAACGATCACGTGCTCAAGCCATATATCTGTTCTGATAGATTCTTAAATATGAAAAACTAATTTCTTAAATAATGTTTAATTTTTATCTTGACCATAAACTTTAGTACATTTTGATCGACAGTGTGGACTGTTGGGCGTCGTTGACAAACAACAAAATGACGTGAATATCACCTCGCCATTCAAGGAGGCTTTCAATTTTTCAATTACATGTACATACTATGATTTGTTTTCTATACGAATGCTGAAACATGCTATGGGGCAAATTATGCAGCATAAATCACTGTTAACTGGCTAGAATATGAATGTTTCGTGTTCAGTTTAATTCACAAAGCGATTCCTTGATCTTTAAACATACATGTAATTATTAACATTTATTCATCATACATGTGTGTTAATTAAAGCATTCACTGAGCATATCTACAAATAGCAAATTCACCTGACATATTTTTAAATTTGTAGAATTGAAAGTAATAAAGAATTAGATTTGAGTAGGGCACGTGTCCAATCAACAGGCGTGGTCAGTACGACGTTTTCGGGAGTTTTGACCACTCATTGCAGCATGGACTCCGCCTACTTTCCTTTTGATTATCAACTTTGTGACTTCAAAATAGGATCACAGGTCTACACAAAGTCCGAAGTCGCCATAGAAATCATCTCCGTAGAAATGGCAGAAGATTATGACAGGAATCCTAATTGGCTTATGGAATACAGCCAAATCAACAATACATGCCAGGAAGTCTACTTTTGTCTCCAGCGGAGGTCGCTGTATTTAACCATCCTGTACATGGTCCCGGCTCTCATGCACTCAGTCTTAATACTTGTCTCATATGTGATTCCAAGTGAAGCCGGCGAAAAAATTTCCTTCGGAATGTCTCTTTTTCTTTCCTTTATGGTTTTCCTGTTGCAGTTAAATGGTGACCTACCTGAAGTATCTGCCTATGTTCCTGCATTAGGTAAGTTTATGACTGACAGCCAGTCAGCAACAAAAAACTTCTTCATCTCAAACTATCTGAAGGTCATCCATCTACCCAACTGCCACTCACCTAAAGTGAACCGAGACTTCTGACCTGTATAATATGCACTATCTTGTAGAACAGAACACATTTTGATCAATGGTTATGGCAGTTGATCTATGTTTAATCTCCCTTGGTTTTCACACAAATGAAAAATCACCGCGCGAGTGATTTCATAGCTTAACTTCTTTGTAAGCCAGCTTACTCCTGATGAACATTCCGGGAAAACTTGGCGTTATACCTCCATAACCGCATCGCATCTCATGTGACTTCTGAGCTACATGTATTTCTTAGTATCAGATTTTGAAGACAGCTTGGCTAGTTTATTGCTTAGAAGGGCAGATCGACAAGAGTGAGGGAGAATATGAAAACGAAATTTAACTCTACATGTGGTTCCATGAAGTAAGCAAACCCTTACTTGTATCAAGTTTAATCCACAGGTAGTGTTGTAGTAGCTGTGAGGTAAAAATGTAAAAAAAATATATCTATTTTTAGTGTGATTAAGGTGATAATGAACTTTGAAGCACGTGATGAATCTTGATTAGTCGACCGGGCCAAACAATGGAAACATTCCTAGAATGTTCCACCCCAGACAAATTTATTGGTTAGAATTGCATCTATTGACTTTTATATTTTAAAATGCCGAATCGAGGTGTTATTACAGTTAAAAAGTCTAAAGTCAAAGGCATTGACTATAGATTCCATATTTCCTTTCCTCCTTGACGGATAACTCAAAATTCTTCGTGTTCTTTTGCGTGTTTTAGAAGGTTTTCAACATTTTCAATAGATAGTTTTACATTGTATATTTACGTGAATTCATATAAAGTTTGACACTATAATTGAGAGCTTATTTTTCAAAGAAAGTCAGTGAGAAAAATAAATACACACTTAGTGACCTAATACGAAAAAAGGAAACAAAAGAAAACTTTTTCCGGGAATCTACTTCGCATGATACGATAAATATTACTTATAAAATTTACTACAAGTACATTTACATTGTAACATGTATATAATTTCTTCCACAGAGGTGGTCATAATGCTTCACATGCTGAGCGGAGTCGTATCTGTATTCATCTCCTCCGTCACGGCTTACCTCATACAAAATCCTAGCCAATCACAAGTCACCGTGACCGAGGTCAACGACTTATCCTTGGACGCCGAACGAAAGGATGAAAAATCTAAAAAGAAACAGATAAAATGCATTTGTGCAGGTCTTAGATCTGTGAAATACCTCAACCGCATTGGATTTGTCGTATCCCTTATTCTTATTCTGATGGCAAATTTAGTGATGATTACCGCTCGATTAGTTTCCACAGGTTGTGCCAAACCATTATAGTACATTGTTCTATTTTGAGAAACCGTTTTTGGAAGTCGGACCAAAAATGTATGCAGAGTAGCATTTTGAAAAGCAGACAAACGGATACCCTACAATCGCATAAACATTCTGGTCTTTTGCAACATTACAAAATATTTATTTTAAAAAAACCCTCAGATCTCTGAATATTAGCAGGTAAAAGCCTTTCCATTGAAGCAATGGTAATTAATCTGAAAGGGATATTGTAAATTCATGTCGTACAATTATTTGTCAATTTCAGATAAGAAGGTTTAGTTTATTTTGGACAAATGATGGTTTGCTTGGCATATAAACGATTTCCATGCGGTATATCTACCATTTTAGAGACAGACTCTATTTACAAAGAACTTGTAAATTAACAACTGACGGAGAGGCACTTGAATGTTACCAATTACACAACTCATTAACCCGGGAAATTTTTGTGTTGAGGAATCGTTTTGTTATTTCATAAAAAATAATATTGAACTCTATTGTTTCCTAATTAATATATAAATTAATTAAAATAACAGTTCTTAAGTATTATTGGATTTATAGCCAAAGAGGCTGCAACATGCTTAAAGCAATTTTAATCAACCTATGATATTGAATTAAAAGCTAATTCTACGAGGGGTTATCAAAAAGTTCGTGGACTGGTGCGATAAAAGTAATACTATGTAGTCTGTGCTTACAAAATTTATAAGAAACATAAAACAACAAAAGTTTAAGAAATGTTGAAAATTTTAGCTTGATACGTTAATAATTTGCAAAATTATTCTGAAATAAAAAAGACATTATATGATCACCCGGCGCTGTCGCCTTTTACTTTCATGACGTCCGACAACGTCAATGTTTCTCAATCTCTGCTCTATCTACCTCATACATGCACTTATCTTCATGAGATTACCGGGAGTTAAGTAAGGACTTAAGACCGTCTTGTTTATATGACTTTACACTGTCATGAACAGCTGAATTCAATGCATGTGATATTGTAAATGGATCTATTCATAGGGAAAGAGGCTCACTTGATAATATCAGAATACTAAGCTTGTTGCAGTTCAATTTCTACCACACTTGATCAACGTCACTTTTCGATGTGAATGACTTTTGACACCCTGACTACAAATCGACATTAACTGTACATCTTTCATCTCTTTGAATCTTTTTGGGCATTATAAAAAACTCTGGATGCATCTTATTTTTCTGTAGCCTGTTTAAACATTCCCTAGGTCTATACCAGTTTTTCCAGGTGCGAAACTTTATAGAATGCCGGAAAAAGAAACCCCTCCTTTTTTTGACGTCATTTTCAAGTCCTTATTTTTTGGACACTCCATATAAAATTTACGATAAAATTTCATTGAGCCTACAGAATGGGGTAAAAATTGCAAATTTTACGGAACAATTGTGTCGTACCACATGCCTGAAATAACAGGATTTTTTAATTTCTCAGTTATACTCGGGTAGAAAAAACGTCATATTTGATGTTGCGCCGCCTGGACATACCAGTGCTTACAAAAACATTAACAATTTATTGAAAAATAAAATGTATGATTTATGGATTATTCTATAGATAGAAAAGATGTTGCTTACTGAATTTGTTAAAATTCATTGATGTACCTAAAGCGGTTTTAACGTTATGGCGCTAGGCCACGAACTTTTTGATAACCCCTCGTACTAAGCACTTTTTATATTGATTGAATTTGTAATGAAATTAATATGTGTGTAGTTTTATTTTTCGAACAACATAATCATTATAAAATTTCGACATTATCTATTTAAAATTGTAATATAGTGATAAATTAAACAAAAAATGTCCTCCATTTATATATATATATATATATATATATATATATATATATATATATATATAAATTAATAAATTTTGCAAATAAACTCCGAAACGGCTGCACCAGAGTTCATACTAACTCCTCTATGAATACACTAGATACAAGATGATGTCCGTAGACTATAATCAGATTTCACTCGCATAGGAAGTATCATATATTAAATTAAAAGTCTACTTTCATTTTCTATAAACAGCCATGAAATAGTAAAAAGGTGAGTAGGGTGGCGGTTCCGGTTGGCGGATCTAAGTTACTGGCAACTTTTAATGAAACTGAAAAGAAGCAATCGTTTATTTATTTCATGAAACATCATCACTGAATTATTCAATCAAAACTTGATTTAAATGATATAAAAGAAATAAGTTGTGATTACCGAATAACAAGGGAAATGTGCAAATTATTTTCGTCATTCACCGATCTTAATATTGACGGAAACTTCTAGAACATCATATGGCATCAAGCCCGATGTTAAAAAGAAAAAACGAGGTGATTATATATATATATATATATATATATATATATATATATATATATATATATATATATATATATATATATATGTAAAGTGTTTTCTAACAAATCTCACTTTAATACAAGTCCGTCAATGAGCAAACGAAATATTTTAGTCCTGAAGAAGGAGAAACCAACCCATAACTCACCCCATTACATGTAGCGACAGTAAGGATAGCATTACATGCATGTTCATCTCACGTAAAGTTAGGGTTTTACTTAGGTGAGGTGTCAATGTTCCGCAAAATCTTAAACTGAATAATAGAAAGATGAACCATAGTATGTTTTACTTGCTTTACTGATTTGTGAAGAAAGGAGATGGGCGAACAAAAGCGTGCAAAACGCCTATAGATTGAAATGTATAAAAGTCATTTAATTTGTGAATTTAGAATTTAGAATAAAGTTCTTATGATTGAAAGGTAAGAAATTATGTCGAACAACACTTTCAGTGGAAAATTCTTTCGAAAAAAAAATCATTCTATGATTTAAAAAAAAAATGTATTCTTGGGGCTTCGAACCCAATAGATAAAATACCTGAATTTCAACTTTCTCAAGAAGGCCACTCATAACAAATACTGGCATTTAAATTATGTTTGTGATAAGGCCCTTGACTAAATGGACTTCAAGCATTTCTCGGAAAAATACGAATGTTGTGTCATGAAAGTGTCATTTTAAGGTATAGTGGGTCCTTGCTCCATGGTGAATGTATATTTTTACGCATACTTTCAAAAAAAAAAAAATGGAGGAAAGACCCATTCATATGGAAAAATTGTGTTGTAATTTGAAGAATTGAGCATTTTTCGGTGTATGTATGCTATTTCACAGACAAAAAAATTTCAATCTTTGTGAGATTGTTGCAAATTGTGGTGATTGTACATAAAGAATACGTTAATGTTAAACGAAATATCATAGAAAATTCTGTCATAACTGAGATTTGATTTTTTCATTGTCTTAATTGTTGACCAATAGGTATTTTGCTCGCGTTGTTCGACCATCTTCCTACACAAAAACTGCAGTATGGGAAGTTTGCATTTCAAAAGACCTCCATGCTTCATACTAGTTTGAGTAACTACATGCATTACGAAACTTACTACAATCGCCTGAACTTTTTCAAGGCTTTGCTTAAGCATAAAAAAATTACAACCGAATCACTGACAGTTGCAAGTAACAACCTTTCTGTTAAAAGAGATGGTTTTTCAGGCAAAGGGATATTGTAAATTCATGCATTGATTTATTTATTAAGTGTTAAGAAACCCAATTGCTTCCCTTACTTATGCAGCAATATACCCTTATCACCTGCATGTGAGGGTGTATATCTCTCAGTTGATTCAATACCGTAGAGCATGCTCTACGTATGTTCATTTCTAAAACGAGGTAATTTATTGGTAGGCCATTATTTACACACTATATTGTCGACGGGTTTTTCCGTTATTTCCCGATGATGACAAGGAGCACACGACGGGTGACCGATCGGCAGGAGATGCTCACTCCTCAATGACACCTGATCCCACTTCTGATGTTTTTGGAGGTCCGTGTTTGCTCTCCTCCCGATTATATAGTTTTAATGGACTTTGAGCTTGAATACTGTCGTTATCTCCATATTTCCTCTATATGGCCAAATTATGCGCTTTGGTTAAAAAAAAGATTCCCACGTCCCTACAGATCAATAAACTCGCTTGTTGTGAACTTGTTGTCTGATAGCATAAAATTCACAACAAGCGAGTTGATTGGTCTATAGAGACAACTAGAAAGGATTAGGAGATGAATAAAATATACAAATTGGTTATAAAATATGTCTAGAATTATGGAATGAAAAGTAGTTGATTGACCAAAAATACATCCCCAAAATAAGCAAAACATCTTGCGCCGTAAATTGCACAATATTTGCATTACGGGATCTGTGGCGTTATGGTCAAAGACTAAAATATAAAACCATAACGCTACAGTTCTGCAGCTACATCACGATCAATCCCTTGAAAATGAGTATTTTCAACAATTCCTTTAACTTGACCCACTAAATATGATAACTAGATGAAAATCATTTGAAACACTTCATATGATGAAGCAAAGTCTACGAGAAGTCCCACTGTACGAAGCGAGTGATATATAGCTGGTAAATGATTAAAGACCGGTTTCTATTTTGCCAGTTGTCCGCCAGCTTATTGAAGTCATGTCAAAGATTCCTTTTATGAATATTCATCCAGTAGCAAGTTAATTACAAAATGTTAATTCTTACTGATAAATGGTTCTGTTCTAAAACATGGAAGCTGGTAAATTTGCAAGGGCTTTGTTAAATTATATATGTTTGATACAGAAGTAGCTTATGTCTTTTTGAAGTTGTTAAAAACTTTAAAATGTAAATGTTTCAATGTTATCTTTCAAATCGTACACAATGTGTCAGTTTAAGATGTGCATCATACAGTAAGGGAATCCTCGGGGTTATTTTTTAGACCGTTGTTTTTATTATTTTGTTCATAGATATTCTCCATTTACAAAGTATGCGGACGACGTCATTCAGCTCCGTATAAATCTCCTAAGGTCAAGATTTAGTAAATGTAAGGAGCCTACATGTTTCTCCAACTTGAGGATTAAAATCATTTTGTGGTTCTTATTTACTGTATAATGATTGAATAAGATGTATCGGGCATAATT